AGTTCAATCATGTTTTGTCTGCCCAGCTTCATAAATCAGTTGAAGGCGACTTTGTTCTGGGCTTCTGAAAACGTAATTGCGTTTCCTGGCAGATGTTAAAACGAGCGCCAAATCATTCTACATAGGATCACCTTTAATTCTTTTTTTTTTTTTTTTTTTTTTTTTTTTTTTTTTTTTTTTTTTTCCCCTCCTATTTTTTTTTATTTGGCTGCTCTCCATTTTGCCAATTTGTTGGTAATGATCAAGTTGCATTTTCAGCTACATTATGGAACATGACGGCACTAATTGTCGTATATTTTATCCGTTCTCTAAACATTGTCAGTACATCAGGCTATAAAATATTTAAGTGAAACTATTTGGTTGCCTGCCACAAAACCATTCTAAATTATCTGCTGGCAAACCCTCCTCCCGCACTTGCCTAAAAGAATGAGATATTTAGAATATGGAAACAATAAACGTACAATCAAAGTCTTTTGTGTTGAGCTAGTTCAAAGGCCATGCGCTGTATAGAGTCGAAGGGGATTTGCATAAAGAAAAACACCTGTTGGAGAAGGTGCTGATGGAAGCAGCCTTTTCCTGCATATATGCTACATACTAGTGATGCTAAACTGCTCATGACATGTCCATCCATGATTAAATCATTTGATTAGGCCATGGACATTCTGTTGTAGGTTCTTAGTGCTAATAATGTGGTATAAAAAAAATTGGGCTCATTTAGATAGACAAATGAAAATTCATACAGAGTAAATGGACCTTATTGACTGCTGCCACTGCTCAGGTCCGACATATAAATAGAAATATGTAGCCAATGACACCTCCTCTGCTGGTTTCACGCTGTTGATATTTACACGTTGGCCCTGAACAGGGGCGGACTGACCATTTGGAAACTCGGGCACTGCCCGTGGTCAGTAGGGGGCCCCTTGAGATGCCCCTTGTACCTTTTTCATAGGCTTTTTTTGAGTTTGGGCAAGGACACAGGGGCCCCATGATCCCCTATTGCCCAGGAGCCCCATAAGTTGTCAGTCCGCCCCTGAATGAGTCATTCATGCAGCAGCGTATGCGCAGAATGCCATTTATGAATGATAGGCCAAGGAGCATGTGCCCTGCCACATGCAAGTTTGCAAAGACATTGCAAATAGGCAATTGGGTCACCTTTTAAAATTGGGAATGGTTGGAGGTGTATACAAGACAGTGTTGGCATCATCTTGCGTCATAACGAGGTATAAAAAAACGCTGCCTGCGAAGATTGGCAAGCGTTGACACTTTGCAGCTGCCTTCATTTATCTCTCATATTCTATGGGGCCAAGTCGCACTGTAAAGTAGTGCAGGAACCTTTTTCCAAAATCAAATAATTCTGAGTCAAAATGATTAGAACTGGCACTGTTGAAAACTATGTAATTTCCCTTGTCATGCAATTCTGTGTGACTCAAGTCGCATCAGAAGTTGCAGTGGTGTGAACAGGCCTAGTAGTGTGCAAACAGCCCTTATGTATCACTGTGATGGTATAAAGTGTACATTTCACCTAATGTTTAGGGTTAGGGGATAGATTTGAAGCTGAGTTTAAATCATAACAGGGTTCTATTGCTGTCTGTGCTCCCATTAGGAAGATTCAATCCCTCTATTTGTTTTGTGTACGATTTATCGCTGTAAATGAAATTGAAAGAAAACCCTAAATTTCAGGTTGTCACCAGAACCAGACTAGAGGTGAAAAAATTCAATGGGGACAATAGTTCTGGTGACCTTGGTGACAACCAGGGATTCCCTCACTTTGGATGAATTTTCCTTTCACTTCCTGTTTTGGATATTATTATTATACAGGATTTATATAGCGCCAACAGTTTGCTCAGCACTTTACAATACAATGGAAGGCAATACAGCAACAATACAGTTCAATACAAGAGGGAAAGGAGGGCCATGCTCCTTGGAGCTTACTATCTAAGAGGGAGGGGCTAGTGGTACAAAAGATAATAACTCTGGGGGATGGACTGGTAGGAGGAAGAGAAGATTCCATTATTAGCTGAAGGCAGGATAGGCTTTCCTGAAGAGATAGGTTTTCAGAGATCGCCTAAAAGTGAGCAGAGTAGGTGATAGTCTGATAAATTTGGGTAGAGAGTTCCAGAGGATGGGGTCAGTGGGAGGAAGAGTGCCCCGTCGTTGGGGTCAGTGGGAGGAAGAGTGCCCCGTCGTTGGGGTCAGTGGGAGGAAGAGTGCCCCGTCGTTGGGGTCAGTGGGAGGAAGAGTGCCCCGTCGTTGGGGTCAGTGGGAGGAAGAGTGCCCCGTCGTTGGGGTCAGTGGGAGGAAGAGTGCCCCGTCGTTGGGGTCAGTGGGAGTGGGAGGCAGAGTGCCCCGTCGTTGGGGTCAGTGGGAGGCAGAGTGCCCCGTCGTTGGGGTCAGTGGGAGGCAGAGTGCCCCGTCGTTGGGGGGGTCAGTGGGAGGCAGAGTGCCCCCCGTCGTTGGGGTCAGTGGGAGGCAGAGTGCCCCGTCGTTGGGGTCAGTGGGAGGCAGAGTGCCCCGTCGTTGGGGTCAGTGGGAGAGGCAGAGTGCCCCGTCGTTGGGGTCAGTGGGAGGCAGAGTGCCCCGGAGGGGTCAGTGGGAGTGCCCCGTCGTTGGGTCAGTGGGAGGCAGAGTGCCCCGTCGTTGGGTCAGTGGGAGGCAGAGTGCCCCGTCGTTGGGGTCAGTGGGAGGCAGAGTGCCCCGTCGTTGGGGTCAGTGGGAGGTGCAGAGTGCCCCGTCGTTGGGGTCAGTGGGAGGCAGAGTGCCCCGTCGTTGGGGTCAGTGGAAAGGATAGTGCTTCGTATCAGTGGAAGGAAAAGTGCCCAAGGGCCGGATAAAAGCAAGCAAAGGGGCACATCCGGCCCACGGGCCAGTTTGGAGACCCCTGCTTTAGACTATATTTTTTCTTAGCACATTTCTTTGCGGTGTTACATAGCTGCAGGCCTACTTATGGCTACTGGTGGAAATTGTTTCTTGTATCCCATTAAGTGAAAGCATTAGGGAAAACTAATAAGCTGCAGCAACCCACACCAAACAATACAATTTCAGCTTCTGGGGGCTAGGTTGGCATAAGGTATTTGGTGGTTGGTTGTAATGGGCTTACAGTGCATTTTCTATCCATGTCTTAGGACTTGTTCACACGCACCGCATGCTAAAATGCTTTTTTAGCACATGGGCTGCTCTAGTTCGGTATGGGAGTTTCAGCATACCGCACTGTTTCCTTCATTTTAAAAAAAAATTATATAAATTGTCACATTGCTCCTTGTTGCGGTGGGGTAACATGAAATGCCATTCAGTGCGCTGTGGTGAAATGCTACATGTCTGCATTTTACCGCAGCTCATCCTACTTCCTGGCTGCACAATCATCGTAGTGTGATTTGGGAACGTAGAACACTATTGCTTTCTATGTGCCCTGGTGTTGATCTGGTGTGGAAAAACACAGGTTTTTTTTTTTTTTTTTTTTTCATGTTTCTTTGTGCGTTCACATTATGGCAAAACTCCATCTCCTCTGTACCAATGGCTGGCGTGGTTGTTGTGATGGAACTCTCTCCCCTGGCCACAGCGGCTAGAGCTATGGATGCCAGCAGGTGACGTCATAGGTTTGGGTAATTTTGACCCACTGTCGGCCTTCCACACTACACAGATGAGCCAGAGACTTGTGGTCACATAAACACATAGCAAATTGAAAATAAAAGGTATTTACATGGCAATATACGTTAAAACGTATGTGGTGCAATAAACAGGCAACATTTGGAAGGTGGAGTATTGTATAGTTTTTAGCTTCTGCTTTAACCTTACTGCCTGTACCCACATCGTTAGTCCACAACCATGGAATGGTTATCCATTCTGCGGCATCCGGAGATCACCACAAGTAACTATTTTCACATTTTCTGCCACAGGTGGATAGAACCTGAGGCTTGGTGCAAAATAGCAGTGGTTTCTGCATTTCATGGGTGCCCGGCCTTAGGTGTTTTTGTATTTTTGGCCCAGAACAATGCACATTCAGGAGCGGACTGACCATTCGAGCACTCGGGCGCTGCCCGTGGGCCCGGGGTCAGTAGGGGGCCCCATGAAATGCCCCTGGTACCTTTTTTTTTTTTTTTCTAGGCTTTTTTGAGTGTGGGCAAGGATATAGGGGCCCCATGATCCCCTATTGCCCGGGGGCCCCCATGAGTTGTCAGTCCACCCCCTGTGCACATTTGAACATCATGGACTACAAGATTGTTGCTCTGATTTCTACCTCCAAAACAATAAAGTCTGTTCTATATATAAATGTGGTTTATGTATCAAGCAGTTCCTAGATTCTGAAATGTTACCTGTTTATGCTGTGGTTGCAGTTAGGTTTCACATAGTTGACTTAGTTGTCTACCAGGTTATATCCTCTAATGCAGTAAATTATGGATGCTTCTATCATCAAATGCATCAATCCTTCGCTATTTAAATATTCTAACTTCTTGTTGTACTTTTGCCAGCGTTCGGAATTCGACCCATGTATGGCCTGCTTTAATCCTCTTTCACACTGCAATTAGGAACATACATTGGATTCCAGCAGCATAAATCAGTAGATACATGGAATAACAGGTATATGTGGATAGCGGTGGCCTCTCAGTCTGTGCTAAGTATTGACAGGCTCCGGGGAGCTGTTGCCGTGTGCATGCAATGGTTACAAGATAGATGCTTGAGCTTGGACGCATCTTTCTGCCTCCAGCAGCTATCACCCATCCCTACGCATAGGTAACCACTGCATGTGCGTTTTACCCGTAGTCACGGCCTTCATTAATTCAATCAGAGCAACCATGACTAACCATAAACACCTGTGATCGGGCTGTAAAAATTCACTGATTCTTGCCACTGGAAGTCGCAAACTGGCCTGTAACTGGGTCTGGTTCTGACTTGTGCAGTCATGCTTTACATATAATTTAAATATAGGGAAACAATATTTTCTTGGATTCAGACTAACTATCTTTCAGTATGAAATGTTGACATTGTTCTATATTTATCTTTGGCAGGGAATGATGAGTTTTCTGGAGGAAACGTAAAAGCCCAGCCACACAACTTCTATCACAACAGACATGTACAAGAGAAGAGGTCTGTGCCTATTCGCAGGAAGCGAAGCATTGGTAAGTAAGGGTGGTTAAACACCGGATTGGAATTTGTATTCTTTCCCTCTTCTTTTTTAATCAAGAAATTTAAATGTTATCAGCTTTGATATACTCTGCCACAATTGCAAAAAAAGATGTCCCTATTCACACAGACCCTCCATTTTCCTCCCTCTATGGAGCAGCGGATGTATATGGAATTGTCCTACCTCCTACCTCTAATCTCATCTGCCTAAAACAAATGGAAGGGGATCCATTCCCTTCCATCTGGGCGGCTTGGATCAGCGGGCTGTGTCCGTGTCCGCTGTGCAGAAGTGGGGCAGACAAGGACCTGTCATCTGCACACTCTGCTCTGCTCAGCAGGGAATGGGCGGACAGATCCCCGGCTGAGCAGGCGCAGTCCACCCCGTGTGAAAGGGGCCTTACTCCTAAATTTGGATAAGGTGCATATGGGAATATAGTATAGCAGCTATACCTGTAGCAGACCACAGAATTGCTAGAGGTCCACAACAGGGTATTAGATCTGTCTGGCTAAATTGTAAGTTATTCAAGCAGAATTTCGGTAAATAATTGGTTAGAACATAACTGTCTATGTAGTCCAATTCAACTTCTATGAATGTAATCAAATTAACTGATACGCTGTCGTATATGTTTCAGATTACTGTATTATAGTTACATGTTGTCTATTGGTTACTGTTTTATGTTTGCCAAGATCTTGGCATGAAAGAGTAGCCTTTCTGTGCCATGAACTTGTGCCAGGGTCAGGGTAAGGATAGTACTGGAACCAGGTTAAGTGTTATGGATAAAAGCAACCATTTCCTATTTCTAATGTTTACAGAAACCATTGCCATAATATCTGTTTGGTTGAAAAAAAAAATGTGGTAGATAACTAGTATGCAAAAAAAAATCAACTCTGTACTGCCCCCAGATGCCCTGTAATTCCTGCATTGGGCATCACCATCTTGCCTCTTGCACAGTATAGAGAAAATAAAGCCAGGCTGGTCAACACAACTAAGCCATTCCAGTAATAGTCCCTTGTTAATGGCCAGGGGGGGGGGGGGTGTTTATACATGAGACAAAAGGTGCAGCTTCTGACTTTTTTTCTAAAAAAAAACGAAACAAAAAAACATAAAAGTCGTATATTTGTAACAGCGCTGTTTAGCTTACATTAACAAGTTTTGGGGAACTGAGTATGTATGGAGCGACCAATGGAGCAGACTATGGCAGTACTACTATATTTTACATGTTTGGGGAATTAAAAAAGTTTGCTTTTAAATTTGAGCAAGGGTTACGTTAAGTATTAGTGCTTGGGCAAGAGGTGGTTGAAAAGATAATGCTTTATAAAATACTGTGTTATAAATTTTAAGATAGGATTCAATATATTAACTCTTTTTTAAATTTTTGTATTTATTTTTAAATTTCACATTTTATTTATTTTCATCTGTGTCCAAAAGTAAAAAGCACCCTTAAAAAGACAATAGTTCAGTAGTTCTTCAGGAGTTGCAGGCATACTTTTTTGCTTTTATTTAAACCATGTGAATAAAAGGTGTCCTTTCCTAAGTACCACTGGCAGTGGGGTTGATTTACTAAAGTCAAATCAGCTGTTCAACTAGCAAGGGAATTTTCCCTTAGCTTAGTAAATTAGGTGAAGCTCAGCTCATTGTACAATCACATGCAAACCAAAGTGAATTTTGACCACACTCCCTAAGGCTACATTCACACTAGCGTTGTGTGCAGGCGGCAGAGAGGCGTTTGGGAAGCGTTTTTACCGCTTCCCAAACGCCTCTGACAATTCTGCACATTGCAGCACATGGTGCTGTTCTAACGGGAGCGTTAGCGTCGCGTTGCGGAAAAACAGACGCCTCTGGTCGAGTCAGGAGGTATTGAAGCCTCCTATTCTAGGAGGCCGGCCGGCGTTTGCAGTGTGGTTGCGGGGCGTTTTGCGAAGCGGTACACCATTCAAACTTCATTATAGGCGTTTGTGGGGCGTTTTTAACGCTCGGCAACCCCCGCTAAACCGCGTATGCGTTTGCGGAGTGTTTGCCGAGGGTCAACGCTTGCCAAACACTAACAGTTACTTGACCCTAACACTTCAGAGATCAATATCACAAAAATAAAAGTCTATACAGTTAATATTTGTGAGGATTTAGGATTAAACTTTTTTTTTCCCCCCAGTGAAAGAGACAGGAGCTTGAACAAACTCAAAGTTGACTTACTAAACAAGTAGAACATGTAGAGGGAATTTTCACTTATGTTAGGGCTTGTTCACACTTGAGTGTTTTACCAACGCTTGCCAAACGCTATGGGGGGAAAAAAAAAGTTTAATCCTAAATCCTCACAAATATTAACTGTATAGTCTTTTATTTTTGTGATATTGATCTCTGAAGTGTTAGGGTCAAGTAACTGTTAGGGATAGGTCATAGATCTTTATTTTTAGCTTGTTATTGGCTCAGGGTGCAGTGGGTTTTCTGTGTGTGGCTTTCAGTACTGCAGACAAGTTAAAAATAAACTGTGTCCCTAAAAACGTACATACTGTCTTTTCATAATGTCAAGATCAGAGTAATAGAAATACTTTAAGATCCAAATTTAAAGAGCGAATAGAGCCCTGTTGCTACATTAAGACATATGAATCTTAGCGCAGGCTGTTGTAAAAAGGAAAATAAAATCTGAATTTCAACTTTTATGCCAGCGAAGGACAGTAAAGTCAAAAGGATACACCTGCTTCAAAATGTTGCCATTTCATTACTCCCCATTGCCCTACATACATTTAAACATAAATTGGTATGTAAATACTTTCTTTTTGCAAGGAATGGGATACTCCAAAAAGCTTGAACGCAAATCTGAGCTGAGGACACTTTTTGCTATAGCAGTAGCACAGCAACTAGGTTCCTAGTTGAAGACCTTGAACAATGAAGTTTAACACAATCGTAATAGACTGGAGCAGTCTATCTCTTGCAGGTGACCACCACAACTCAGTTATTTGCTCTAAGCAGTCCTGGCACCTGCAGCTGATGACCACAGGAAAGTATGGGCAATCTGGGCTGGCTGGAATAGTCACACATTGACAGCTGGGGACCGTGGATATTGGCAGCACAATGTTTAGGCTCTACTCACAGACCCAGGAGAGAGATCCTATTTGTCCATAGCATGAAGTAGTCCAGAAGTCAGTCCTGTAGGTCTCCAGGGGTAAGTGGTCCCCTGGAGCATCAGCAATCCATCCTTGGCAGAGGCGATGACCAAACGCCAAAGACCTTATCTGTCCAGGCTCCAGCCTATTTATTCCTTCTCTCCACATCTACTGGGCACACCTCCCCAGGGATTGGGCAGAGGGTAGTACATATTCAGGCTGGAGATTTGAATTTTCCCACCCCATCTCTTAAAGTTTTTCAACAAAGCCAAGGGGAAGTAATCAATCCCAAAGTCCATGAAGCCACAGCAGAACAATCCAGCTCCGTTGGCTACAGAGTTATTCAAAAACCAAATTTCCCTAGCAACCTAAATCGGAGGATGTTACATCAGCATACTTAGAGCTAGCTTGGTAATCTACTTTAAAGGGTTAATTCACCTTCACAATAAAACTAGTCCATCATATTTGATCAAGCAGATGATAAATCTGTTGGCAACATTTTTTTTCAGCATTCAAAACTCCTACCCATTGGCAACCTGTGCCTCTTGTAATGCCCTGTTATAAAAGTTGCATCCAATGTACTTGCACTGTCCTAAAATTAAACTAGAATGGATGGGACTTTGAGGGGCATGAAGCAAATGTTGTTACATGTCCAGCCCGTCCAATTGGGTTGTTAGGTCATCACATGAATTGTGGGACATGTAGTACAATCACTACACTGCCCACTGACTACAATGTTCCACAATTCATTGTGTGTACAAATGCGTGAAACCTGTACAAACCTGGAAATGCAGTTTTGTGGAGCATCTTTTGAAAAGATGCTTGAAAAGTAGTATAACGGAACTAGGGGGAAACACGTTTTTAAGATAAATGAGTTTGCGCATTATGATTGACATCTATTGTAGATGTAATTGCTGCAGAGATTCATTCTAAACTGATAAAGGTGAGCTAACCTGTAAACCTGAGCGATTTCATACACTGTTGTCAAGATAAACGTGTATACATATTTGCAACACAATACAAATAATGCTTTTCCTGATCCGAAAGATTCAGTTTATCTCTGCAGGCTATAAATCATTTTTGTGTTAACTACACCCCATTGTTCAGCTGTAGATCCCTTCTCACAGAGGACATAGATTGTACTTTCACACTCATTCAGAATATATTTAGTAAGATGTTGGTGACAAATTGTATGACTGGGATAGCTGGCAGGTGTTCTGATGACTCACTATCTCTACTGGTTCATGAAGTGTGTGCGGGGGTTAAAGCACTAAGTAAATTTGGTCTGTTGTTTTTATTTATATTCTACCTTGTGGAATTCATTTGTAAAGGTGTCTGGACGAAAAAAACAGCTTCGGCCCTAAGTTTCCAGTTGTCGTATTTTCATCAATGAAGCCCATTGGTTTTCACGCAGTGTTGCGTTGCATACTCATGGATTCAGTAACCTAAAACTGTACATAGGGTATAGTGGCAAAATTTATTTCAATAGAATGACACCTAACCATTGGCAGATGCACTAAAATGGACTTTCCGTATGCTATGAAGTTGCCCCCTTGCACCGTCACCCAACCAGTGGTATTTTCCATCATCACTTCTTTTTCACTTTTTATAAAGAGTTTTGGCATCATTTTAAGGAGAGATGATAGAGGACACTGCATTTGTTCTGCTTCGAAAGTGTCACCAGAAACAGATTCGCCCCTCTAACATGGCCCAAAGTGGATGCTGAAATCCTCCATTAGTTTCATTAATATCCACAAACATCTGTTCCCTCACCTGGTAGAGCATCATAGTGCTGGTCTATATTAGATATTTTTAGATTATGGAATAAATTAAGTGCATTGTGTGAAAATGGCTGAAAAAAACTATCTCCTCTGCAAAGTTGCCATCATTCCTAGATCATTAGTGTGTTTGGCAAGAATACTTTTAATGTGAGATATTTACAAATTTGTGGAACAATCGAAAAAGAGAGTTGTGATCTGGCCAAGATTTACTTACAGCACTTTGGCTTGAAGTTCTAGCATTTTGGGTTTTATTTTGTTCACTTCAAAAGGTATCATTGACTTCATGTAATACGGTACTGACCATAGATATTCCTGTATTTCTTTCTAGCAACCCATCAGACCCCTTTCTTATTGGTAGGCAAAATAATATTTGGAAGAATGAGAGCGCCACTGGGTTGTATCAAGACAGCTGTCAGACTGGCCACTTGTGGTCTTGCTAATCCTCATTTTATATTTCCTGCTGTTCAGTATGCCCACAAATTTGCCAGCACACAAACCCTGATGGAGGAGATTTTTGACCTCCTGAATCATGTTGGCTATATCCCCTGACCTTCATACTGGATTTGATACAAACCATCTCATTCTTTTACATACTATTTTGACTACTCCAGGGACCCTTCGGGATATTCCTGCTGACAGAGTACTGCCTGTAAAGACTGTACACCAAGCCTATTTTTCATTGATCAGTGGGTCTAGCTCATCACCATTACACCTCTTATTTGTAGGACAGGATAAATTGGTCTTCTGGCTACACAGAGCCCCAAAGATTCTTAGACGTTGTGGCTCATAACCTTTTATCCATTTTTTATAACCCAGCCCATGGTTCTAAATGATTGCTTTCTAAATGTATATTGCAGTTTGCGAAGGGATTATTTATTTGTGGTCTTTTCATTTCATAGAGGAAGCTGTCCCTGCGATCTGCAAAACAAGGACTGTTATATACGAGATACCTCGTAGCCAAATAGACCCAACATCTGCAAACTTTCTGATATGGCCGCCCTGTGTGGAGGTGAAACGTTGCACAGGCTGCTGCAATACCAGCAGTGTTAAATGCCAGCCATCAAGGATACACCACCGGAGTGTCAAGGTAAAGCAAAGGCCATGGACGTGTCCAAGGCCTGTTTTTTTTTTTTATACTATTTGCACCATGAATGTTGATTATGATAAAAGACTGGCATACTGACAAGTGTATGACCCTTGCTGAGAATTTTGTCATATGTGCAGGTCGCATGAATAATACTTGGCCTTTTTGTGGCATCTTCTATGTTTTTGATATTGCACATTTAATGTTTTGGTTGAAGCTAAGGTAATACCTCTATTTATTTAAGAAAGTATTAATGTAGTGGGAAGAGCAATGGGTTCCAAATGTCCAAAGCAATGACACCCTTGGCCCATTATAAAGCGAACCATGCATTTTGAAATTTCTGTCTGTGAGTGAAACTCAAATTTACATGCCAGAGTTGCGTGTGCCATTGAATTAACTGCGCAGGGTATGTCTTTCTTTTGTAAATAATAAATTTTTTGGGTGGACATCTTGGTTTTTTGTTGCCTAAACCTTAGTCATGTGTAGATATATGTATAATCATGAACGACAAAGTCAAGGCACGTCATAAAAGAACAGCTTAGTCAACACCACGCTGAGTGGCTCTGAGGAAGGGGCAAGTCCTTGAAACGCGTCGGCCTATTGGATGTCTACACTCCCTATTCTGGACTGTTACGCGGTATTGACTAAGCGATTCTTTTATGACGTGCCTTGACTTTATTGTCGTTTGTGAGTACAACACCTACTTTATTTCTTATTAAACATTTTTTATGGTAATGCACTAGGCCTGTGCGCCCTTTGTTTGTTCTTTCCTCATTCAGTATATTTGGATTTCCTTGGTTTACTGAGGGCAGCAAGGTGTGCATGTTCCAGGACATTCTTAATGTGGTTGTAGCCTGCATCGAGCCCATCCACAAAAGCAGGAGCATTTGTGTTTGCTGGTTCTATATATATATATATATATATATATATATTAGTTCCCTGTCGCTGGGATGATCCTACCTTGAGGCCTTGGACAGGGAGGAATGCTAATGTCTATAGTTTTGTTTGTTTTTTTTTTTTTTTCATTCTTGCAATATTTTGTAGGAGAATCTCTCTACGTGGATGTTCCCTTTAGTATATTGTATATGTCCCTTGCCAGGTGATTTTACCTACATTTTGATTTGGCATACTCTTTGCCTGTCGGCAACATTAAGATCTCCTCCTGTTAGTTTGATACTGAGCTTGACTACCTGATTTTCACCCTTATATTGATTTATGTGTATTACCTGTCATCATATGAAAAGTAACTGGGCTGTTGCATTTTCAGATGTTTTGCTTCAGTCTCTAAATCTTTATATTGACCATGAAGCCACCTTTTAGGATAATCTACTGTTTTACTTACTTCCTGTCCAGCTTAAAGAAGAGCACACATACAGGAAGCAGAGTGTGGGAGGTAATAGGCAGGGGCTGACTTCCTGTCCTGTGTGTAGACAGGAAGTGAGGCATGCATACAGTGGACAGCAAGTGAGGCATGCATGCAGTGGACAGCAAGTGAGGCATGCATGCAGTGGACAGCAAGTGAGGCATGCATGCAGTGGACAGCAAGTGAGGCATGCATGCAGTGGACAGCAAGTGAGGCATGCATGCAGTGGACAGGAAGTGAGGCATGCATGCAGTGGACAGGAAGTGAGGCATGCATGCAGTGGACAGGAAGTGAGGCATGCATGCAGTGGACAGGAAGTGAGGCATGCATGCAGTGGACAGGAAGTGAGGCATGCATGCAGTGGACAGGAAGTGAGGCATTCATGCAGTGGACAGGAAGTGAGGCATGCACATACTGTACAAAGCAGAAGAAGAAAGCGGGGGGGGGGGGGGGGAGGCTGTATTGGGAATATGGGATTTCATGATATTGTCCATGTTGTGTTTTAAACTTTTCTTTGCTCCGCGACAACAAAAATGGCTATGCAAATAGTGCAAAGTGCAGTACCTCTTAAACTCTCAGGTTTTATTTTTTTCACTGTACTATTAAGGCCATGAGAAGTGCAAAGGACTGGTACAACTTATAATGAGAATGCAGATGAGAGTGCAAAATGTATGGATGCAAATTGCACTGCAAAGAAGAGCATGCAATTTGAACAGTAATGCGATTTCTTTCCAAATCACATGTGGTTTCTTCACTGCTCCTGTGTGAACCCGGGCTTGTCACAGCTTCCCTGTCTCCATAGCCTATGCCTCCCTGCACCAAACCCATGCTGTCACAGAAGGAAAAGCTGGGTATTTTAAATCCCCACAGCTTTCTCTCCCCTCAGTACAGGGATGACAGTACGAGCTAAATAGCTCTTAAATGGTCAGCACTGTGATAATGCTGACCAGTCAGAAGACATCTAGCCCATATTGTCATCCCTGCAAGGAGAAGAGGGAAAGCCACTTCACAGGTCTGGGGATTGGAAATCCCCAGGGCTTTCTTTCCTCTCTCTGCAGGGATGACAGTATAGGTTAGACGGCTTCTGATTGGTCAGCACCATGACGGTGCTAACCAATCAAAAGCCGTTTAGCCCGTACTGTCATCTCTACACTGAGAGGAGAGCAAGCCTCAGAGATTTCAAATCCCCAGCTTTTCCTTCGGTCACAGCATGGGACTGGTGCAGCGAGGTTTCCCACACCGCTCTTGTGTGAACCCAGGCTATAAAAAGCCTGGGTTCACACAGGAGCAGTGGGAAAACCACATGGCACCGCATTCCTGTTCAAGTTGCATGCTATTCTTTGCGGTGCAATTTACATCCATGCATTTTTTGTACTGATGCAAGTTGCGCTGTAAAGTATTGGTTTCAGGTATCGGGAGCATTTTCACGAGTATTTGAACTCGTGAAAATACTCAGTATTGGTGCTGATATCGATGCCTCCCTAGTTCACAGTAAGTTTTATAATGTATGGTCAGCTTAATCATGTTGATATCTGTAGTATCCCAACAACTGATGTGCCAGTCAGCTAAGACTTAAGCAGTTACATGCAGAGAGTGGTAGAAGAAGAGTTTGGATTTGGATTGCAATCCAGTGTGTTTACCAATGCTGGTACCAGGGCCAGATTAACCTCTACACACAGTAAACTGGCTGCAGGTAGTAGAGGATACCAAGCAACTTTACCTGTTTGGTTTTGATCACACATTTGTTTCCCATCAGCAGAAAAAGAGCTATTTTTTTATACATGGCCACAGCATTCTAAACCAGGCTATGTCCAATAAAACAAGAAATGTTCTGTGTAAGAGGGCATCTTAGGAGTTGGGTGTTAAATTGGGCCTCAGTCATAGAAGGCACTTATTTCCCCCCCCCCCTTCTTTTTTTTTTTTATTTCTAGATTTACTATGTTTTTAATGGAAGAACATGTTTCTTGGCTCCATTAAAATGTGTCTCCTGGATCTTAAACATTAGAAACAATGAATTGTTCAATAGTTTTAGTGCTTGTTGGTCTCTAGTAAATGCCAGTCAACTTTCCTTTTGCATAGTGATTTTTGCTAACACAAACCACTAGAAGATGGTTGTATGGGCTACTGATATGCCTCCAAAATATGTCTTGTAAGAGTTCCCACAGTACTTAAAATATTGCATGGTACATATGTACTGCAATGTTTTATGTAGTCAGTTGGATTTGGCTGGAAGGGACAGAAAAGAAAGTGGAAAAAAATGTCTTGACATCAAAAAACAGCTTTTCTTCTCAATTATCTTCAATTCTGATAAGCCCCTGGAACTTTTTTGTAAACACACACTCACTTTAAACTGTCATATTTTTAAACCTGTAAAAAAAAAAACCTGCAAAAGAAGACAGTTGATGACCACCTGTCCCTCTGCACACTCCTTTGATCTTTGTTCTTTTCAAGAGCTGTGCCCTTCTGCAGAACCTTCCCATCCAACATTTCCAGAGGTGTTAGATGCCTGTACGCTGTTCTATCTGCCAGCCCTTATGCCCTTATGCCAGTGGACAAGTCATTCAATATACCTAAAAGTGTCTGATGTGAAATGTCTTCTGAAGGCCACAGCACTGCAGGGAGCGTAGATCCTCGAGACAGAGTATGAACCTTTTTTTTTAAATTAGTAACATTAGTCACTTTAAATAGAAAGTATTCTTCCCCCCACACTGCATATATAAATGATAAATAAAAAATGTTAACCCCCCCCCCCCCCCATTCTCCTTCCCAGCTGCATCATCTTCCTGTGAAGATTAATAAAAAGCAAGTGGAGGATCTTGTTTATAAATGTAAATTGACAATTTGAACTTGCTTATCCTGGATTAGAAGCACTTAAAAGTGTATGTCAAGACCAAACCATTTTTTATAGTTTTTGTTGAGAGGTCCTCCATTTGGAAAGATTCCCCGTCACTTCCTGTCCTGCTGACAACCGTTTCACAAGACAGGAAGAGAGGGAAAACAGACAGAAATAAAAATTTGCCAGGGGTTCTATCCTTCCCTCTGCTTGACTACAAAAAAGCATTCAGTTTCTGTCTGTGTTCCTGTTAGAGAGCTCCCTTCAGTAAGGCTTGGTTCACATATGTGCGGGTGGTGCCGCTGCGGATCCGCACAAAAATTTGTGCAGCATCACCACCCACACAGAGGAATGCAGACCCATGGGCGGGTGCCATTAATTCTAATGGCACGCCGCCCGCACTGGAAAACGCAACCGTACTGGGAACTGAGGTTCCAAGCGGGATGCGTTTTCAGAAGGAGTGCAGGGACTTCTTCCCTGCATGTCATGGGGGATGGGAGTCCATTCAAATGAATGGGCTCTCGTGCCTGCGCAAAACATGGCCCGCACGGCTGCATATATGTGAACCAGGGGTTACCGCCTGGTAAAACATTGTCAGCAGGACAGAGGTGATGGTAAATTTCTCTTACTGGGCCTTGGATAGTAAACAGTAAAAGTCTGACACATGTTCTAACCCTTCTCCATTAGACATTCACTTTAAATGGGGAATATCACAGTTTTTAAATACAGAGAACTAATTAATCTTAAATGAAAGGAGAAAAGACTTTGCAAATCTCCATAATTTTGGAAGGGGAAGGACAGAGCCTGCAGCCAGGAGGCTGGTTGATATTTACATTACAGGGACACCATAGGTGTTGGTGGCCCTAGTGTACTCTACAGAAAATTGGAGGTTGTGTGATTTAT